TGCGCGGAGTCGCGCCGCAAGGAGGTGGGCCAGAGCCCGCCTCCCCACCCCGGGCCCGGGCAGGTTGAGGGGGCAGTGACAGGTGTCTCGGGGCCCGGCTGACAGACCGAGGCGGCCGCGGGGACAAGCTGGCCGGGATGCCCAGGATCGCCCTGGGCAAAACCAGCAGCTGTCATCCTCTACCAGCTGGTGCAGCCCTGGGGACCAGCCACAAGGTCCTCAGTGTCCGCCCATTCAGGCTTCTCCAACCTCCTCCACGCCCGCGGGACCCCTGACACAGAGAAATCCTGGCCATCAAGATTGCTTCCCAGAATGATTGCACCACTGCGGCTGCCAACGACCTGGCACTGCCCCCAAGCCTTCCAGTCCTGGCAACTTTGAGGGAAGAACCCTGGGCCCGACTCCCACTGACCCAGAGGTACCTGTATTGGGGAGTGGAGATGGTATCTTATGGGTGGCCCCTTTAAACCCAAGTTCCTGGCAAATCAGTCTTTGATCAGAAGCAGGGGGCAGAATTCTCAGTCCCTGAGGTTTCCAGCTTGCCCAGGCCTAGACCTTGAGAAACTGTGCCCTCTTCATTTCCCATCCCCTGAATGAAGAAAAGAGCGGGAAGAAAGAGTTAATGAGTGCAAGGTCCCCACCTGATCCCTGAAAACCTGTTGCTGTTCTTGATGGTTGGAAGGTTGCAGCAGCTCCAACCTCCCCCAGCTGCTCCTCTAAGTGACTCCCCCAACCCTATGGATTGTGGCTCCACAGTTGTGAGGGGGATGTGTGCAGAGGAGAAATCAGATGTGTTTCAGGCAGCCCTGCCTCTGCCCAAGTGGGGTGTGCCATACAGGAAGATGGGGAGCCCTGCAGCTACCCTTCTTCCAAACCCTGGTCTTCTGGCCTCTTGGCCTAAGGCTCTGAGGAGAGAGATGGGCTGTGCACTCTGGCCTAGAAAAAGGGGTCCACATCTGCCCACACTCATTTGGCAGGGAGGGGCTGCGGGGACCCAGAATTTGGAGTGGAGGCTATCACCTGGCAGGGCAGCTGGTTGGGGGAGGAGCAGGGTGCAGCAGCAAACACCAGAGCTGGGCAGGTGACTGGAGAGAACGCTCTAAAATGGCGTTTTTGATGACGCAGGGATGCAAACCAACCACATCAGCCTCATCTTTTAGAGCCTTGCTCATCCCCTCCTCCCTCTCCATTAGTCTCCAGCCAGAGGCCATGCCAAGCCAACTAAGCGTGGAGCCTGGGGGCGGGGGGAAGAGGAGGCCCATGGCTCCCCTGCCCCCAGAGTGAATGTATAGACTGGCTCAGGGCCCAAAGTGGAAGGGATGCGCTTGTTTGTCTGCAGGGGCAGGAGTGGGAATGGCTGAAGGATGCCGTTTGCCCTGGCAAGCGCAGAGCTGGTCATGGAGTGCTGTTTCCCAGCACCCACTCCTTCCCTTCACTTAACACCATTAACTAATAATTCGCCTCTCTCTGGCCCCTGAAATCAAAGCCAGCTAACCACCAAGGACAGTCGTTTCGGATTCTTCCGCCCTGAGGAGAGAAATCAGGTAGGAGCGGAGGAACTCTGCCTCTGCAGTAAAGGGGAAATGAGGTTAGCTGGGGCTGACATCCCTTCCCAGAAAGGCCCCACCAAGCAAGCACAAAGGCAGTCCTTTAAGGAAGCTGCAGCTTGGGGCAATCTGGGGGTGGTAGAGGGCTGGAGGCAACAGCTTTGGGATGGGTTAAGGAGGGGGGCACTTTGGACTTCCAAAGAGAGGTCAGGACCTTGGAGAAGATTCAGAGGGGACTGGAAACCGGAGGAAAGAAGAAATGGGGTGAAAGCCAGAGGACTGGGACCAGAAGTGGAGGGGACCGGCTCTCCAGCTCCTCTAAGGTGCCAGAGGAGGTTCAGCAGTGTGGGAAAGAAAGTGGCAGAGGAAGAACTTTCAGAGAGAGAATTGAGGTCCAGTGGTGTGGATTCTCTAGCTCCCCTTGTTCTCAGGATGTAGCCTTGGTACCCATAGTTGCTGCTGGTCAAGCTAAGGTGTAGATTCTGGTGGGGGAGGGGGCTCTCACCAGGACAAAAGTCTAGGTAGGAGAATTTCTGCTGAAAATAGATTGCAGACATTATGGCCAGGTTAGCATCACCAGCTAGGCCACCTTGGCAGGAAGTTAAGTGCAAATAGGAACTAGAGATAGGATGTTTTGATCTTTGATCTGTAGCAACAATGGAGCCCCCCAGGCAACAGCACCTATTCACACTCCTAGCTTGTGCACCCACAATCCACATCCCCACCACCCATATTCCCTCACACATTCCTCCATGGACTTGTCCACCTTCTCCTAACTTTCTGATACCAAATAAATGTGAGTCTGGGAGTGAGGGGAGGGCTGTATGGCCACAGTTGTAAGGCCCTCTTGGTATCTCGGTCTCTCTCACTCCTTGGATTTTGAGCTGTCTTTTCCTGTGCTGCTCTCAACACTGCTGCCTGCCCGCTAGGGCCACACAGTAGAAGGGAGAAGAAGGTGGCTGCAGTGGCCTTCCATCAGCCAACTGTGGTGCGAGGACTGGGTTGGAAGCACTTTTCCAGGTGGAGGCTGACACCAGAAGAAGAGATCCCAGGCTTGAGCCCTGATTCTTTGCTTTATTTCTTGCCAGAAGGAAGAGTTCGGACTGCTGGTCCCTTCTATCTCATGGTAGACCCAGGCTACTCAGACATGGGAGACCGGGTATGGACTGCCCTCCTTGTGTCTTCCAGGCCCAGGTCTGACCATAGGGAGAGACTGGTCTGGTGGGGTGGTGGCCACCATCCAGGACCCTCAGCTATGGCCTCCAGTGTGGGTGGGACTTTTGTGTCAAGTAAGGAGTAAGGAGAAGTGAAGTGGACTGGCCAGTATCCAGAGGCTCACTGGGGTGAAATCTGAGCACTGTCCTCTCTAGGCCCTAGCACAGTGGGCACAATGCCTCCCTCCCCCGCCTTCTTGTCAAAGGGGCTTGACCAGGAGGATGTGAGGAGGGCGGGCTGGACTGAGGAAGGAAGCTGATAAAGACATGTTTGCAGCTGCATTGAAAAGGAGTTGGGGGTGGAGGGGGTGGCCAGGCAATCTTGGCAATGAGACAGGTTGGGGAACCCCTGGCCTGGCCAGTATATAGAGTTCAGTCTGGTTCTTCAGAGGTGAGTTAGGAGAATTTTTCCAGAATGAGGGTCCAGAATGAGGACTGGACTGAGGGTGTGAAAACCAGGGTGGGAGGAGGGTGAGGGGCAGTGATTGCTGAGGATATTATCAGGCCAGGAAACAGGATACTGGGGGGCTGTGTGGAAGGTGTGGGGGAAGAAGTTGAATGGGGGGAAGCAGCCCCTATCCTGCAAGCCCTGTGTCATCATGTCCTTCATACCTGACCCAGGGCAAGAGGAAGGAAGGGGACAGGTCAGCCTGGATGGAGGTGCGCCCCGGAAACTGCACGGAATAGGAGGTTGATTTGGGGGGAGGTTGGGAGGGGCTATTTTTAAACTTGGAAAAACCATGAGTGAGTTCATCTCCACCCAGAGTGCTGGAGGCGCCAAAGGCCCTATTGTACTGGGGTCTAGAGAAGGGGTGTGGGGGAGGGGGGATTGGCACAATGGGGAGAATTATGCCGGCCCAGCCAGGGCGGGGGAGGAGGTGTCTTCGTCACAGCTGCCCTACTGAACTCTGGGGTCGCGCCAGCCTGGGGCTTGGACTGGGGTTTTCTACCCTCACAAAGCCCCCTGTTGCGGAACTGGGGTGTCTGGCATCCGGTGGCTCATCCTGGGGAGGGGGCTGCGGGTGGGATTCACCACAGCCTTACTTTCCCAGGGAAGGCGGTGTCTGTTCCCAGGCTCCCAGCATTCCAGCGACTCCCCAGGGAGCTGCTGGCCGCTCCACTCAGCCCCTTCCCTGCCAGGGAGTAGGGGGAGAGAGAAAGAGGATGTGGATGCACAGGGTTCTTCCTGGGGACTAGGGACCCTTAAGCCACAGGGGGCAGCCCTGTGTGAGAGGGGACGCTGGGAAGGGGGTTCCAGCGCTCCCATCCTAGTCCAGCCCTGCAGCGCACCGAGACCCGGGACTGCCGGTGCTGTCCACTCGGACTCCCTCTCCTGGGCCTGATCACGTGAGCAGCCCTCCGGTGTGACCTCAGGCCTCGGGCACCCAGGACCTCAGCCCAGGATGCCGACCAGGCGCCAGGCTCCCCTATGTTCCCGGGAGCCCCAGCTCTCCCGCCGTGGGAGGCGGCGGGGAGGCGGGGCATCCGGCCCAGCCCCAACCCAAACATTGCCATAAATGCTCAGGCCACTGGGGGCTGAGCAGGCTTGGGGCGGGGCCCTGGGGCCTCCGGAAGCCCCAGTCCGGTGTCCTAGCCTTTCTTAGCTTTGACTGACAGCTGTGATTCAGTCTGCCGGCTCTCCCCTTCACAAAGTGGGAAGAGGAGGTGCTTGGTGGTGGGGGCTGCGGGCTGGGCTTGAGCCGAAGCTCAGAGGGAGGCCCTGGGGGGCTGCTTTCCGTGTGGCCTGTGACCTCGTCTAGGGAGAAGGGGACCCTCTAGCCAGCTTTTCAGTATACAGACAGGGATGGAGGCTTTTGGGTCTCCCTCTACGTCTAAAGGACCTCTTCCTGTCGGCTGTATTTTGGGGGCTCTTGCCCCCAATCCTGGGCCTCAGTTCTCTGGTCTCAGAAAGCCTAAATCCCTTCCCCCTTCCTCCTCCCACACTAAATTTGGAGAATGGAGTTTGGGGCTTGGGCGGGGGAGGGGGTGGAGCAGGATGCTGGGAGCTTACACCTCTCCCCCTCAGGGATGTTCACATCCGCTCCCCAA